CAATCGAATAGTTGCTTCGACCAATTTTCAGCAAAACAATAAAAGATTCATATTTCTTTATATATCGCGTTGGAATCGGAGACAAATAATTTAAGCGTGTTGCGTAAAAGGCGACCAGAATTTTACAATGTCCATATAAAATCTGTCTTGTACTCGAATAAAATGTAACTTTTTCAAATAATAAGAAAAAAACATTTATTAAAGAAAACATTTAGTTTTTCAATCCTTGTAATTTCTTCTCACTGAAAGAAATCCTTTTAAAGAAATCAAATTCAAATTCTTACTCCAATTCGCTGAATTTTTCATGAATTTTGCAAAACCTTTTTGTTTTACAATTTTCAAAACAGGACATAATACATATTCGTACATATTACGCTTGCATCGCATCGATTTTTCATAATCAGAGAAAATTTTGGGATTCTAGATTCGTAATGTTGCTTTCAGAAGACTTCTGGTCACCTTAGCTAAAGTATTTGAGGGAATGCGAAATTACGCGGAGCGTGATATAATATGTTTGCATAGATCTCATGAGAAGGATGGTGTACTACTACAGAGAATATCGGTGCAGGCGAAGGAAATGCACAGGCGCACGAAGCAGTAAATTCCCATTGAGAGCGGCCCAAAGTTGTCGCTCTATAATCTCTTCAAAAATACGACATCTTGCTCATTACTAACAGCTTTATCACAAATATATAATTCGAAAGGGAATATATATTCCATGAATTAAATTAATTTCTATCTAATCCTGTATACATTAATTGCAACAGTTAATTATAATCTATTTAGATTAGAGCTGTAAAATAATTAAACATTGTTCCAATTAAGCTATAAATTTTCAAGTGCTCACTTCAAATTTAATGCGAGGAATTTTCTGGTTTATAGTCGACAATAAATGTCACGTGTTGACGCACAGTAGTGTCAGGAATTTAACAAAAATATGATATTTCGAGCTTTGTTGGGCCGCTCGTTTGATGAATCGTGTCGATAGGATCTCGAGAGCAAAACTCATGTTTATACACAACGCGCGTGCACGATGACACGTACGTGGAAATGAGAAAAAATAGAGAATGCGGACATTCGTATACCTGGTGTGGTGAGAGTCTTGGGCTGCGTCGGGGTCGCGCTTGGACCGACGCTCGACGCCGCTGGGCTGTACGCCCTTAGAAGAGGCCCACCGCGCGGTAGGGTGCTGCTTCCACCCACATAGTATCCACTGCCGGACGTCGAGTTCTTGGCCGTCTGCAATCAGAAAGGTACTTGTCAGAAAATATAATCGGGTCACGCGCCAATAATTCGAAGGCCGAGGAATCACGATTATTTTTCACGCTGATCAAGACTAGCAATGAATCTAATTGATGTATGGCGTAACAAACATCGGATTCTGTCAATTAAAGGGCGATATGATAATTGTGATAATCAGCAAGACGTACTAATTACGTGGAATTGCAAGATTTTCCTTATAATTAATTGCCGATTCTCGTTTAGGTATTATAATTTGCAAACAAATCCTTTAAGAGATTGTTCGGGATTGTTATCTTGTCGAGATAGTCTTGTCCATATACAAGTCTTCCGACTGTCGCTTTCATAACTGGTTTTAAGACTCGGTACTATTAACGTTCGCGCTTTCCAGCGCGAATTTCCACACGATTTTTATGATCGTTTTAACGCACATTATCCATTATATATGTGTTATCTTCATATATGAATTTTGATGAATAACGGTTTTAACTTGCACACAGTTGAACAATTCATGTTAAAACATTTCAAATGTGCCAAACAGCCCACTTAAATTTTCATGTTAATATATAATGAATATATTAGAAAGTAAATATTAAAAAATTAACATAAAAACATAACACTGACACAATTTGTGGAAAATAATAAAAGGGAAAATAATATCTCTTCATTAAAATTAACTTAAATTTATGTGTTAAATTAACACATTTTATTCATTTATCTTAATATTTACGTTTTAAAATACATTATTTTTATATTATTTGGTCTTAAAAATTATGATATTTTAATACTAAGAAATATGTTGAATATCAATTTAACATAGAATAATAAAATAATACAATCACATTATGTTAAAATAACACTGGGATATTTAAAAGATTCAATACAAAATTTTAATAAAGATTGAGTAAACTAGTTTTAACACAAATATTGTAAATTTAAAAAAAGAATAATAACAAAATTCGTTATATGTTTGTTGTGTGTTTTTATGTTTTCGAGTAAAGTATATTTTTAAATGCGAAGTCGACGATACAGAGCCTTGAACCTTTCTGTTAGCTCCGAAATGCACGATACGCTTTGAAATATTTATACGCGCAATAAAGCGTTTGTAATTCCGCTTGCAACATGGAATGCCTAAGTTTCGCCGTATCATCCCGTTTGTTCGCGCTGCTTGTCTCGCCAACTTTCCACGAAAGATTCACTTTCCCATATCGATCACACAGACTGCATGACACATACAGAATATACGATTAGCGATCCCGCATAAGGTTTTAAAACGGTTAATAAAATGAAGCTATTTCTCTCGCATATTACAATCAAATTGGCGTGACGAAACGTAGTCAATACATTTTTTAACACGACCGCAATTTATTCTTGCCAGTATATTAAATTGTTGAAAAAATCGCAGAGAGTATAATAAAAATATCTCAAAATCTTTATTTCGAAAGTAAAAAGAATTTACATAATTGTAAATATATTTCCTCATATCTGCACTTCTTCATATTTCTTCATTATGTTAGACTGACAATTTTTTTTTGTTTTCGTTATCTCGTTTGTATCGAAAATCGATCATGACAAACACAGTAGTTACATTGCGAAAAAATTCTGGTTGGAAATAAATGAACCAGTAGATTCTGTTCATATCAATCAGAATTCTAGTCGAGATAATCAGATAGATGTTCAATTACGTGACCGGAATTTCGATTAATATAATCTGGTTCGTACATTTACAATCAAATATTTTTCTCGGTGAACTACATTTTCTAACACAACTGCGACTTATACTATTACGTTGTATTAAATTGTTTAAAATACTGGAGAATATATAGTAGACTACGTGACACATAGGGAACATATTTATGATTAGCGATCCCGCATAAAGCAACCGATCTAAAATGGTTAATAAAATGAACCTGTTTCTCTTGCATATTATGTCAGAGTTAGTGTGGCGAAACGTAATTTATGAATTTTTGAACATGACCGCGTTTATACTATTCTTACGATTGTATTAAATTATTGTTGAAAACACCGGAAAAAACACATTATTCTCGAGAAAGAATCTTTCAAAACCTTTATTTTAGAAGTAAAAAACATGATGTAATCGTAAATATACGTCTTCATATCCGTATTTCTTTATATTTCTTCATTATTTGCAATTGTTGGACGATTTTTCTCTATTTTCGTTATCCCGCTTGTATTAGAAATCGATCGATGACAAACGCGCGGTAGCCATAAAATTCTCTAACACAACAAATTTATAGATATTTATATCACAGTCTACAAAAGTATTATTATACCACAGTCAAAAGTATTATTAACTATTATTTTAGCTGAAAAATTGATTTATGTGTATTTTCCTTCGTTTCGAAAATTCTTTAAATTTTATAATGTCGGTAATGAATAGGAAAAAATACAAGTAAATTTCCACATAAGTGAAAAAAATATAAACGCTTAATATTTTTAGCCAAGGCGTATTATTTTACCTTTATTTCGCAAACAAAAAGCATCCATTGTAAATATATTTCTTCATATCTACATTTCTTCATATTTCTTCATTATACGTATCTGCAATTGTCGGCAATTTTTCTTTGTTTTCGTTATGCTGTCTGTATCAGAAATCGATCGTGACAAATGCGGTAGTAAATATAAGGTATGGGTATAAGTGTGAATAGGTTTGATATACAGATATACATCAGGCAAAAAAGAAATGATCGGGCGCGCATTCCAATACGGACATTCTGATATTCGATCCATAGGAACTGTAGGCAATCTCCAGTTTCGTAATCTATCTCTTCTCATTTGTATCGAGATGAAAATTACATGTCGAGCCCAATGACGAAAATGGACTGTTTTAACCTGCGGCCGCCACGAAAAGTCCCTCCCTCTTACCGATTCTTACTCGCGCGCTCGCACTCGGCCGATTCACATCGATTTCGCTTTAGTCGTTGTTTACCGTCGCTGCGAGTTCAACTAGCCGCCTCACTCGCCGGACGAATCGCTTGGAAGAAATAGAAGTCTATTGACATAGGAGAGAATTGAACTGAATTTAATTAATGGGGAGTGGTTCTCCAAAGAACGATTGTATCTAAAAATCTACAAAAAAAAAGGAAAGTTGAAAAGAAAGGAGAAAGAATTAAATTTTTCTCTCCAAAGGAGATTATTTAGTTTTGTGGCGAGACTCACGTGCACCTTTCTTTTTGGCAAACGAGAAACAACTCTGCGGCAACAAGACAAAAGGAAAATAACAACTTGTCTAGGCGTTAATCATACATCGAATAAAAGAAAAGAAAAACGACAAATATTTTTCCTCTCCTTTTATGTATCTACAAAGAGAGTAAGAAGATATACAAGAAAAAGTTCACAGTTGTTGAAGAATCTTTTTCACTAGACTTTTAATTATAAAGATCATCAAGAAAGGACCAAGAGACATCTATCGAGACTGTGAAAAAAAAGAAGATTATGAGTCTTGTACTTTTAGCCAAAGGCATCACACATCGAGCAAAGAGGATATGGGCAACAAGATCTCTTTCGGTTTTTCGGCAATCGGGTCGAGTGTACTAAGAAAGTATACACGACAACGAGTTTAGTTTCTTGCTCGTGTCGTCAAGCGCAAACAAAAAGAAAAATCCAGAGACTAAGTCTGTATTGGAGGAACAGAAAATCCACGTGTCGTTGTTCTGATCGAGAAAAGTGTCACTTGGCGAGTGACAAGTGAGATAAGTTGCGAAAAAGGTCACGAAAAAGAGTTTGCGAAGCAGAAGGACCAATTGTAAAAAATCGACAAAGCAAGCTGTGAAGGAAGATCAGCGAACGAGGTGGAGATGCCAGATATTTTTCTACGGTTTGAACAGAAATGCGATAGACGAGAGGACGAGAAAAGCAGCATGTTCGCATGTTCTCTCTTCAGCGGTTGAAAAAGGGATACTGACAGGCAAGGTTGGCAAGAAGAGTCGAGGGGACAACGTTGGGAAACAATTCTCTTTTCGTGATCGCGATCAGATAGTCGCGGGATAAGATTAAAGGGAGACAAGGCCGGAGTGGGCCAAGGAAACGAAAAGAGAGATAAATCTCTCTCTCTCTCTCTCTTCAGAGTAAAGATAAGAAGAAGAAGAAGAAACAACAACAAGTAAGAAGCAAACAGCGAACTTTCATTGCGAAGCGATTGAAGAAACAGCAACTAGGTGCAATGAGGACGATGATCAGATAAAAATGAAGAAATTCGTGACGAACTTCAGGATTCTCCCTTCCATGTCCTTGATCCTTCTAAGCTTACTCGCTGTAGCAGTTTCGAAAACATCGACTGAACTTGTCGAGAGAAATCTCGGCGGCACGCCGATGCACAGCGTACAATTAACGCAAAAGGGCTACATTCAGGTGAGAATATAATTTGAGGAAAGCCGGATTTTCAGACCCTTCTGTTTGACTTACATTAAAAGCACGACAATCTCGCTTAATCCTTTACAAATTATTATTTCTCACACCATATGAATTAATAGGAAGATTAAGTAGTTCTATATATATATTTCATCTTTAACTTCATCTAATCAGCAAGTTTAACAGGAATAAAAAAATGTTTATTTTTTGAAGGAGTTTATAGAGATTCGTCGAAAATATCGAAAAGGACGATATCGTTAAAGTATCTAAAAATTTAGCTAACTGAAAATAATTTTATTATTACAATAATATTATCGCATGTCTTGGTAATTGAATTGGGAAGATGTTCACACGGAATATGGAAGGTCCGGGTCCGAATCTTGGTAATAGCTGAGGTAATAGTTTTCGCAATAAGTTCTTTTTTCTTTTAAGATGCTAGTAGCATAAAATCAACGATCCAATTTATTTAATTTTGGGGAATTATTATTATTTTAATTTGATGTTACAAATCTGAAAATAATCAATCATGTTTCTGGTAATTATATAGAACGCTAAAATTAATTGCTAAAATATCAATTTTTTGCAACATTATTTATCATATTTCTTATGTAATCATTTAGATGCACCAA